CGATCTCCGAGGGAAAACCGTTCTACCAGGGTTTGTAGACGCACATACTCATATCTTTCTGCACCGTGTAGACGAGGCCGGATCACCATATTTGAATCAAGAGCGGGACGAATCACTCATCTCCCGTACCATTCGCGCCACAACCAATTGTCGTCTAGCTCTGCTAGCCGGATATACTACGTACCGCGACCTCGGGACCGAAGGATGCTACAATGCCGATATTGGTGTTCGTGATTCCATAAACCGTGGTCTAATCCCCGGACCGCGTTTATTCGTTGCCACGGAACCTCTAGCTTCTAGTGGTAGCTATGAGATTCGGCAAGAGAATAAGTTGGGAGGAACAGAGACGCCGCGTTTGAGCGATCCTTGTGATGGGATTGAAGGATGTAGAGCAGGTGTGAGGAGAAGGATTGGCGCTGGTGCTGATGTTATTAAGATCTATGCTGAGTATCGGAGACGTGCGTTACGCTATCCAGCATCTACATACAAAGGTTCTGAAGATATTCAATTTCCTCCATCTCGAAATCGAGGGGAAGATATTTTTGGCCCTAGAGAGAAGTTGAGAAATCCGAATTCTCTTCTTTGGAGTCAAGAAGAGATGGATGTTATGGTAGCTGAAGCCAAACGCGCTGGTGTGCCGGTGGCAAGCCATGCCAGTTCAGAAGAGGCAGTAATTATGGCTGCTAAAGCAGGTGTCACGAGCGTAGAGCATGGACTCATGCCTAGTGAAAGGGCATTGCAAGTGATGAAAGAAATGGGTACAATTTATATTCCTACACTTTCGGTCGTAGAATTAGAGGCGAACGATGGAGGAAGAGCAATTGCTATATGCAAAGAGCACGCCAAACGAGCTTGGGAGATTGGAGTGAAACTAGCCACAGGATGCGATACAGGGCCGTTCCCCCACGGAGAAAATACGAGGGAGATGGAGTTGATGGTTCAAGCGGGAATTGATGTGGCTGATGTGCTAAGAGCTGCTACATTAGGGGGATGGGAAGCTTGCGGTGGGGAGTTGTGTGGGCAGAATTTTGGATGGTTGGGTGAGGATTGGATTGCAGATTTGGTAGCTTTAGACGGAGATATGGAAAAGGATGGACTTGAAAAAGTTATTAGAAACGTCAGCTGTGTCATAAAGGACGGAAGAATGGTGGTAGCGGGTGGGAAGATTGTTGGTTTTGTCTGATCATAATGACCATTGGTATGATAGTCATTTGCTTGGCCTAGAGTAATATGTCAGGTAATAGTAGTCCTGGTCTGCTCGTTTGGACTATTTTACACCAGTTGATACGACCACCTAGACATCAAAGTATATAGCGATCTGGACTCACAACCACCTCCGCAAGTTTCACAGTCCACAACTTCCCGCTTCCCTCCACAACCAAGACACCTCCCGCCAAAGCAAAGTTTGCAATCTCAATACCTGGTTCTCCCGCCGAATCATCCAGGAAGACTTCCACATTGAACAACCCCAACACCTTTCCTACATTATTTCTCACTACAATTCCTTCACTCTCAGCCGTCCATATCCTATTCTTATCATCTATGTGAATACCATCCGGGATTCCCGTTCTCGCGATTCCAATTAGTCTTTTGTTGATAGGAAACACATCAGAATCGAGATCGAACTTATAGATAGCGTTTGAGCCAGAATTATATCCTCCAGAATCTGTTGCGGTTATGGGCGTGGTATCTGTAACGTAGAGGGCATTCATGGCGGCATTAACGTTGATACCATTAGGTACTAAGATATCTGCACGGGATATAACAGGAATAAGAGACTTAGTTGTGGGAGAGAAACGCCAGACGGCATCTGGGAGAACGGCTGATGGACCACCATCGTAAAGAGAGGAGAGTGGATAGTCGGTGAAGAACAGATAGGGAGTTCCCTGGTGGCTTACCCATGTGAGATCATTAGGTCCATTGAAAGGAACACCGAAGTAGGGGTTTATGATGTTTCTGTGTAGCCCGTGGCTGGGTCGATAGCATAGATCGCAGGAGGAACTGTGGCATTACCATCACCAGCGAGATATACAAGATGGTCGAAATAGGTGCCTCCATTAGGATTGATTATGGGAATACTGGTGTTTGGGGTGGATATTTTGGAAGTGTTGAGGTTCAGAACCGAGATCGTCGTGGCGTCATCTATTGAGGAGCTTGTAAACCACACTTCATTACGATCCGGTACCCATATACCGGCTTCATTCGCAAAGGAATAATTTCGCTGGGCAATGAGAGTGACTGTGGGGTTTGTACCGAGGAGTTTCAGGAATTCAAGGTCGTAGGATATGAATGCGCTGGACTTTGCCGAAGTGAGTAAGACTGATAAATTCACATTGCTTGTTTGTGTGTCGACGAAGCTCTGACTGATGTTCCCATGATAATTAGGAAGTATGAAATAGGTCGACTCTGGATCTATGGAGACGGTTGTATTGATTGAGGTCTTCAATGTGGGCGCCACAGCTAACAATATACACGCGCATACGATGACAGATGTATAGTTTGCCATGGTGGTCACAGTAATCCATATAAGATTTCAATGAATTTGAATATATAAAGATCAAACAACCAGTGAAGTCCTCTACTGAGTACCTAGTACTTATATAATGTAATCCGGTTAGATGGCTTTTGGCTTATGTGAGACTACTCCCGAAAGGGGCGTGAGCCTCGCAGTCTGACATGACATCTAACATATGTCATGTACGAAGCAATTTGTCATCCCGATAAGCTTGCAGTGGTAGCATCACATTGAGCTCACACGCATCTCATTTCTCTACTTCACCGTTTAGAGAAACTTTGCATTCAATTTCCTCAAGATTCCTGGGCTAAAATATATGCGTTCGAAAGTAGCTTGATTTGATCAGCTTTGCCTCTTCGTCAACTTCAACAACAAAATACATCACGAACTTTGTATATTACCCTCTGCATGCTGCGTGAACCAGGTCATGGCCTTGAGTTCGAATCACGTAGAGTCTCTTCTAATCCACTGGGACTGCAGCCCGAAAGGTGGGTATGATTGCTTAGCACTGGCCAGCCGCAGAGGAAAAGAGCTCATTTTTCAATTGAAAAAAGGACAATCAATAATCTTTCTAGGTGATTTATCTGACAACAGCCATTAAGAATCCGTCCCAATTCTTCTCCGAGACGATTTGCATCACTACGCAGTCGACTCTTTCGTCCTTCCCAGAATTTTCGATTGCAGTTCTTACACCTTCAACGTGAGGATCATCCAATCGATCTTCTCTCACGAGATCTCCCCTGCAGGCCATATTATCCAAGAAGACTGCAGCTCCGGAATAACTCATCTTGACTCCGTAGTCAAAGTACGTCCAATTATTGAGCTTATCAGCATCAACAAATGTCAATCCAAACCTTTCCCTCTTTCCCTCCTCAATCTCCTTCAACAAGCCAGGTAATATATCCACCGCCGATCCTTCCAAAACCTCAACTCTATCACTTACTCCAGCATGCTCAATGTTTTCACGGGCTACCTTTGCGTGCTTGGGATCGAATTCCAACGTAGTAATCTTACAGTCTGGATTTTCAGTAGCAATCCAAATCGATGCATATCCTCCTAAAGTTCCAACTTCCAGCACGTGTTTAACTCTCATAGATTTTACTTGTAAGGCGAGGAATTTCCCTTGTGCGGGAGATGAACTTATTAGCGGAAGACCTTTCTCTGAGGAGTTTCGAAGAGCGTGAGCGAGCGTTTCATGATTTGGTTTCTGAGTGGAATGAAGATTTGACATTGTGTATTCATCCACAGCTGCCCATCCAGGGTGTGGAGTGAATGAGGTACGACGGCCTTGTGGAGGCGGCATGTCTGGTCTTTGGTTGGAGACTGACTGTGTGATTTATTTGAAATGGTTATGTTTCTTGTGTAACAAAAGCTAGAACTAAAGCCCTTAACGGAGAAAAACATTGCCATCTTATATATTCATGAAGTCGCTCTTGAGTCACAACGAGCTTGCTGAATCAATGATTAGCTGATAGTGGATACATTGCGTGGCTGACCACGACAGCTGAGCTTTGATTGCATAAAAGCTACTCTTTTTCAACGACTTACGTTTTGAAGCAATGTATCAAGTACCTGCAGTTCAAAAAATGACGTTCGAGGTGTGAAAAGTGGATGTGGGGTATTGTAGTTCGGGACCGAGTGTTGTGGTGCTGGTAAGATTAAGGTTATCGTCGACGTCGAATCTACCTTCTTCCATGCGGTTGCCCAAAAATTGACGTAACATCAGAGCTTTCTGTCCTATGGAAGATGCCTGGAATACTGCAGTGATACATATCTGCTCATTCTCATGTCCGTTAGACATGTCATGGCCCTCTCAAATGTATACCTTGATCTTGCAATGAAGTGTTCATCTCAGATTCGGAAGAAGACTGCCACAAGGGATACTTCATGACACAAGACACAGCCTTGTCTCAGTCTGAGAATCTTCATCAAAGGCTTGAACGCAAAAAAGTGTCTTCATTCCAAGGCAATCTAGTCCAATATTCTCAGATGATAGTCGGTATGTTCCTATGAGCTGGCGGAAGAGAATAATAACATGTATGCAGCAATAGCGCAATGAGTGCAGTTGAATGGTCCAGGGTAGAGGCTACTTAGTTCTCTGTCCTGCAGAGCGTCATACATACAGGATCTGGAACTTTCTCAGAAACCTAGTATGAGACCTTGGTGAAAAATGCTGGAAAAACCAATCAGTCAGATTGATGTCATCTGAAGAAACCCAAAATTGAGCCCGATTGTTCTGATAAAAGATACACATTGAGAAATCTCCGTCTGGTATATCAAGCGCGGTGTCAGGCTTGTTTTGGAATCTGCCGAATTGAGAAATCTCATCCGTAGTTAGTGATCTCGTACTCGTTTCAAACTTATACTGGCTGTTATCAATACCTAGATTCAAATGGTTCCCAAAAATTGAATATCCGTTCATAACTCATATATTGTCATCTAATAAACCTACTGATCCTCATACATCCTCCTCTTTCAACCTCCATTATCTCGCCCTGACACCCCCGGGAAAACTTCTCGCACTAAGCAAGACTCCCTTCACTCCCCTAATCTCCTTCTTAACCTTTGCAATTTCATCTTCTCCGTCCTTGTTATTTCCATTCCTATCTCCTCCATTTCCAAAACCCCCTGACCCGTAACTAAATGTAGGTGTTGAAAACGCCAAGCCTTGTAAATATTCCTTTAACATAGACATTTTTGTTTCTAGCTCTTCACTTGTAGATGATTCGTAGGTTGAGTCCTCCAGTAAGGATGATAATGTACCTTGTAAAGTCGTGAGACGCGATGTCTGTATGGTTGTTGCTGTGGTCGCGGTATTGGCGTGGGATATTAGGGAGGGCGAACTGGGTGTTTGTAAAGGAGATGATGGGAGAGACGTCTGGACGCCGATGTCGCGATGGAAAAGCTCAGTGGGATCACTGGTAACGGAGCCAGCATCGGAGTCGAGGTATTCGGGTTGAAGAGGTTTATGGTGGTGATAGGTAGGAGGGATTTCGGAGACCGAATTCTCGAGTTTGTGAATTAGTTTTTGAAGATTATTAAGAGTGGCCGAGGATAGAGAGAGTCGGGATTCGGTGAGGGTGTTTATCATAGGACGTATTAAAAAGGTGTTTGTGCCATGAAGTAGAAAGCTGAGGGAACCGAAAAGATATAGGGTTGTAAGAAGGCGGTGTTTGGTAATTAAAGGAGTAGAAGCAGATGGTTGAACCAAGAATTCAGGGTATGTTATTATAGGAGCTTGATCGCGAGGTATTTGTGCGTAGCTTGTTTGAGTAGGTGGAGGTGAATGTCGTAACGATTGTTGAGGTTGTGTCTTTGGTTCTGACGATTTAACCTCAGTGATAGATGTATTCGTCGCTTCATCATTCCGCGATACACCCAGTAACTCTTGTATATCATCCCCCTCGAGACCTTTACTTTCTAGAAAAGCAATCTTTTTATCCGTAGATGCATTCTTAACATCGTCTTCCTCCAAGAACTTCCTGGCTTGTTCGAGTACTGCTGCCCGACTTGGTGGCTCGATAGCTGTGGGCTGAGGTTCACTGGACTGTCCTGCCTCGCCTTTTGCCTCGCTTTTGAGTTGCCATGCAGGTACGCCCGGGGGTTTAGCTTCGTTGTCGGAATCACCCATTCTGTAAAATATTGCTTGTTCAAGAAGCCTCTAAATAATTAATGGGAAACTCTCGAAGCTCTGCATTTGTAGATTGTCGGTGTCAGTGTCTAATGGTATTGTATTTGCTGTGCCTCGGTTGATGACATAATCTAACGGTAAGGTTAGTCCTAATCGGGACCTAAATTTGTTGCGGTGACCGACATTGTCATTATGGAAGTATCAAAGCAACACCACAATTAAACTTCAGTATTATCCAAAGATCTCTTTCATACTTCATCCTTCTATCTAGTATTGGCCATTACAATATCACCTATTCCATCTAATACGGTCTTTCAAACTCGGGTGTCTTTCTGAGCAACGATCATTAAACTGTGCCACAGTCCAACTCTAGAGTCTACATACATACCTCAAACGTTCAAGCCTACGAATGAGCGTCAACATACTTTACGAAGTGGATATCAAAGATAATCAAAATGTCAGGAAAAGCCGAACGACCCAGTAAGCGCATACGAAAACTCAGTACTGATTCTGAGGGAGATGAGGAAATCGATTGGACGGATCACCGTGGGAAAGCTGGTAGGGCTGAGCCAGCCACCAACAAGAACGAGTAAGTCTTTGAAGCGTCTCCAGATATTGAAATTCCATTATTCTCACAACGGCGTTAATGCCCCTTTGCTCTTTGTACCATGTTGCCGCACGCAAATCTCCGTAATTAAGAGTTACCTTTAACCGTCCACTCTATTCCCATTTTTGATTTAGCCCTCGTGTTTTTTATCATAATCATATCTTGCCATCGTCGTACAAACAAGGGGGATGACATGAGGCATCTAAGAACGAACCTTATTAGCTACGTGGTTGGTCAATGGTGGAAAGGCAGGATCGGGCAATTGTGTAAGAGCAGCGCGTTTATATGCAACGCGCCTGCTCACCTGTCATTCTCCGCAATTCTGTCTAATCAAGGCAGTGACCCGAAAGCCCTCGCCATCTGATTCACTACCTATTGTGTTTAGACCACTCCACATCTTTCTACCGTATCATCAATAACCTCAAAACAAATCATCGTGGATCAAGGAATCCATCAATATTACCACATACCCCCTTCAATTTGTTCATCTTGTATTTGATTGCGGTGTAAGAACAAGATGTCTACACGTCGAAGTCAGCGGTCAGCCGCTGCCAAGGCAAGAGACGTAATTATTGTTTCTGAACAACTATTTCCTAGGTCATCGCGATCGCGTCGCACGAATCCAGAGCCCGCCTCGTCGGCCACCGTATCACGTGGACCGGCACTACCACAATCAAATAGTCCCGAGTCGATGCGTTTGACCGTCAAGACGTCATCAAGTAAACTGAGAGAGGCGACACGATCTAGCCCGATCACCGGCCCATCTGTTATGGTTAATAGTAGAGATCAATTTGTTGGCGGCGAAATCCTCGAGGGCAAGAGAAACAGGAATGTCAAAAAAAGCTATGTTTTGGAAACAGAAAGCGACGATGAGGATGAAGAAATGGAAGATGCCGAGGGAGAAGACGATCCAGATGCGGAAGGTGAAGATGATGACTTAGATGCTGATGGAGATATCGATATGGACGTACAGCCTACTTCATCTACCATTCAGGTTTCAAATGCGTCGGCTGGAAATTCCAAGATCACGGTGACGGAGCCACCCAAAGCACCTGCTGTTTCTGTTGGACAACAAGGAATTGGGCTCAGTGACGATGATGATGATGAACTAAGTGAACTCGACAGTGACTTGGGAGAGGAACTTGAGGAAGAAGAGGTAATGCAGAGTGGAAATGACGAAGATGCAGAAGGGGAAGATGAAGAGATTGAAGTGGCAGCAGAAGAGGACGAGCTACTCGATAGTGATGATGAAACACCTGCCAATGGAAGCAGAGCCTCTACTCCCGATCTCAACAAATTGACGAGAAGGCAAAGAGCAAGATTCGACGATGCTGCTAGTGGATATCTCATGGCTCTTCCTGATGGTAAGTTATTCCATGAATTCTCAATCGCGCGCTAATGTCTTTTTCAGAGGTACAAGTGAAGAAACATCTTACTGCTGAGGAGCATGCCATGAGACGTGCTGAAATGGCGCGAAGAAGAAAGAACCTTAGTGAGAAACGGAACGAGGAAGAGAAGGTAATTATGTCTCATGAAATTCTAGAATTAAATACCCAAATTCTACTCGCTGCATCTTTTCCTGGCTGACACAAATTCTAGATGGAAACAATTAACAAGCTTCTCAAGAAGCAAGCGCCTAAGACTAATGCTCGCCGCAGAGATCTCAATGGCCCAGCTGTTGATGCAACTCCGGAAGGAGAACCTCAGAAACCAAATCCACTTTTTGTGCGATGGATTAGCAATAAGGATGGAAATAGAATCGGTGTACCAGAAGAATGGATGGAGGGTCCTATTGGTGCTTTGTTTCAAGGTGGAGTAAAGGCTAGTGGAAATGAGATGGACGGTAAATTAATCCAGGAGGTTTCTTAGATAAGCAAAGCCTTGTCATGTATACTAGAACTTTCTAGTTTTTCGGGCTCTCAAGGATATTAGTCGGGTTCAATCTTATCACATTTCTCTTAGCCGAGGCTAGTGTTCTCTTTAATCCATTGTTCGTGCTGAGATCTAATTATTTGATTTGTAGAATGGTCAGGCACTCGGTGAAAGCTCCTCCGCTTCCGATTCTCTGCTAGGCCATCTGCTATTAATCACGATTCTGGAGAAACTTCATGGACCCCTGGCTTCCCACCTTTGTCCAATTACTAATGCTACTCTTACTGCTCTCACTGCTCTTACTACGATCACTACTATCATTCTCCTCTGCATAGTACACGACTACCAGTCGATCCTTCCAGTGCCTCTCACGCATCATGAGTATGAGTCTTTTCATGGCAACATCAGGGCCACAGAGAGTGTCATACGAATCATCGTTAGCAGCTTGACCAATCTTCCATCTAACCGCAACACTTTTCTTTCTGCAGATTAATGGGACAGTCTCCCGATCATTTGATTTGCCTCCGATTGCAGCTAGAATGTCGTAATATGAATCGGACTCATGAATGGAAAGAACGTCCATACTTAAGAGTCTGGTGCCAGAAGTTTCGTTTGCAATTCGATATTCGGTTAGGACAAGATGTTGGGGATCAGGAAGGCTATCGGTTTCTTGAGATTCCTTGGTGCGGATTGGGAGGCCTGAAATACCGCGTTGCTCTGCCGCCTCTACAGATTTCCGTTTAAAATGGCCTAGAACCTTGGACTTCATCTTTGTCGCATATGGCGGATTGTTCGAGCTTTGTAGATCGATGAGTAGATCAAGTGGAGGAAGAGAATATTCTTAATCAGTCCAATCCAAGAGGCAACAGAAGACTGAGTATATTAGAAGAAGATGTTGCGCTAACAATTCAGAATCAACAAATTGAGATGAGGTGGTTGGAATTTGATTAATTTTAATCTTCTAGATTCCATTTTCAATGGAGAGGAGGCAGCTGCTTCTTATATGCTGGGTGATGACTGTGCTCAAAGCAAGAAACATCAAGCAAAAGCATGTTATGCGTGACCCTTGCTAAGGTCCATCCGATGAATATTAAGAAACGCTCTTCCTATCATTTTCATGGAATCATGCATCACAGCAAACTACTTGAAGCTAAAAGAACGAGAGCAAACTAGCAATGTGGATTGAGATGTATAATCCCATGGCTTTATTAGGCAAACGCACTCAAATTTGTACCTAGTTACTCTCTCAATAGTCCTATCACATGAACATTCTCACGCGTTAACATCTTTTCCACTCTAACAAATGCCGAATGTTATCATTTTGCCTCCCTCTTTGAACCAGATACACTGTATACTAAGAATCGCAACGCAATCAAAGCACAAAATTGCCTTTACCTTCCTCGACGTTTCGTCCTGTGGATCAAGAATTTGAAGATTTTCGCCTGGAGAGACTATATCCTAGATTTTGGAATTCGGAATTGCCTGTATGCATGTTTCCGGTCACGGCCACGGTTCCAGCATCAAAGATCAAATCTGCTACTACGATCTCTGCTTCAATACTTGCAGAAGAAAATATACCATGCGCTTCCATATTCTTGGGGTGATCCTACCCAACTATCGTCAATATCAGTGAATGATGTCGAAGTTAGGTCACCATGAACCTTGTAAATTTCCTGAGGCAGTTTAAGCTTTTGAGGACGATTTGACCTCTACTCTGAATGCAGAACCTTTTCCTTGAGTTGAGGCGATTTGCATCAATCCAAACGATATGAAAGAGCGCCTGGGTACAGACTGCAATGAACGGCAGTTCTATGCTCGAAGAAGCTCTTGCTAGCCCCAATAGTCAAGAACTTCAAAAATTGCCTTTTCACATGTGCAAATTCTGGTATGACTAGAGGCTACTTACTACCAGATATGACTTGATTAACAACTTCAAGTTAAAGAAAGTAATCCATTAACTACAGTTGCTAAGTACGCTTATTTCAACCGAACTTAGCGTGAGCTTCATTTCCAGACCGGCTCCAACAACGCCTTCAACTTGAACCTACACCGAATTGATAGCTAATTTTCAGTTCACAGAAGCGTAACCATGAAGAGTGACGAAAGAACCAAAGAGGCTAGGCTTTCGGAATGGGCTGCTCCGTCAAAATTTTCCAACCATAGAATAGTTGCAGAGTCTATACCACAGCTCCTCCGCCTCTCATTTTCGATGGCTTCAGGAAGTAAAGGTGCAGGACTTCCACGCGTTCCGGTAGCCTCATCGCGAAAGATCCGTCTCCCAATCTTCAACATAGTCCTTCTCGGCCCACCAAAGAATCCAGTTCTGTCCTAACAAAATCCTGCGGCGCATTTGCTTAATTGCTGCTCTCCATGCGAAAGAGTTGCCGACTACAAAAATGAATGGATCACAATAGAAGCTGTAAATCGATCGGTAATTCAGTTTGCCAAGCTGCATTCCATTGCCCCATCTCACCGCGATCATTGTCGGCTTGAGATTCTTGGGCATACCTGCATTGCGGGCATCATTCTCTGCACGATCAAGGAATGCGTGGAGGTTATCTTCGCCCGGTGCATCTGTAAACTCGATGGCAGTAGAGACGGTTTCTCCAGAATCCCTTCGCAAGTGAATGACTTTGCGGTAGAGAGGTCCCATGATAATAGGATCTTCTAGTCGGGGGTGAGGAATTTTCCAACCATAGGGGATACAAAGTTGACACTTATGAGCTTCTATTTGGGTCTTCAAGTCTAACCCACGGTAAGTAATAGCGTAGGGAGGGGCCGGAGGGTTGGGAAAAGGGATTCCATCAATCTCCGGGCTTAAACTCTGACTTGATTCTCTGACCATTCTAATTGCCTCAGTAGGTACGCTATCAGCCCTGGATGGGTTTGGCATAATTCTTTGGTTGATTTGCGATGACCGTATCATCGGTGAGCTGGTAAGGGGTGGTGCGGTTGAGGTACTGGATTTCGAAATACTTGTTACTTCAACCAATCCCTCTTCTCTATCAACTTTCTCGATATTATCACTTTTTTCGGATCCATAATTGTCATGGGTGACATCAATTCCCTCATCCTCTGCGGGGTCTTGATTACTACTCCAATTTTTGGATTTGCCATTGATTAATCTAAGGCGCAATCTGACCGGCTTTGAATTAGGCGTTCGGGAAGAAGATTGGGAAGCTGAAGCAGGTGACGACATGCTCTTCTCATCTCTGTCAGTTTTCCTACCACGAGATACTTTAGCATTAGTTGGTAGAGGTGGAGGAGGCATGGTATTTCTCGGGCGAGGTGGAAGAGGAGGAAACATATTATTGCTCGGTCGAGGTGTGATGGGAGCAAGCCTGAGATTCTTTGGTCGGGGAGAAGGGGGAGGAAGTGTGAGATTTTTTGGTCGAGGAGAAGGTGGAGGAAGCACAGAATTGCTTGGCCCAGGTGAGAGTGGGGAAGATATATCACTGCTTGGTTGAGGTGACAGTGGAGCAGCGGGAGTATTCTCTTTGGCGACCAGGACTTTCTTGGTATCTGTAATTCTTGCATGAATCTGACTGGAAGGACCGATTTTCAGTGGTGATGTGATTGTTACCGCCTTGCCTGGGGGAGACTTGGAAGATATTTCTGCAAAAACTTCATCTTTTCTCAATTCTCTTTCCACAAGAGATGATATGGTTCCATCTTGTTCATCCGGAGCGGAACCTGAAATAGAACCTGGAGAAGATTCTGCAGAGGGTTCCGTACTAGTTGGCGACTCGGATCTCTTATGTTTCTTGAATGGAGGCGTTGGTTCCTGGTGAGAATCTTTTCGAATCCTCTTCGGAACTAGCTCTAGAGGTGTATTCTCTTTTCGATTGGATGTACTATCAGGCATGATTTCTAGAATTGAAGTAATAATTAGAGCTCGGATTGATTAATGGATATTGTAATAATAGAGAAATACAATGGTTGAAAAGAAATATAAGTCATGTAATTTCTTTTCTTGTCCGTGTATGCACACTTATATTATACTCGTTACTGTAAGAATGAGAGCAAGATTGGGTATCCTTAAAATTGTAGAGAAGAATTGGAAGGTCAAGAGCTGAAATATAAGTGTCTTTGTGACTATGGGATAGAATAATTGGCAGTAGCTACCATGTTGGTAGACTAATAGCGCTTTTCAGGTCTTGCCTGGGACAATCTGGACTATAAACAGTAAAACCCAAGATCTTTCATTATCATTCAGCAAGTTTTCTTTTTGGTGAGCTCCAGATATAATTATTATAAAGAATTCGCATTTCGTTGATCGAATATCACTTAAACTCTTCGAGCCATCATCGATACCAAAGAGAGCCTTCCTCCATCTATCAACTTTGCCTTCCTGCTAAATACCAAGAACAAGGTCGACATCGAGGAGAGATCCGTTTCACATTCGTATTATATTTTCTTCGCGCGAATTTTGATAATGCCGAATCCTTATTATACACGTCCACGGCGACCACGATTCTTCCGTATAGATGTCTATTTTGGTAGAGAAGCCACAGGAGGATACGAGTATTCGTGGGCAGAAAAGTGGTGGATATACAGAGCAATTAGCTACGGATCTTTTGTGGAGAGGTGCCACCGTTCCTTGATGAGGCATCACCCAAACACAGTTTTAAGAGATTTCAGGTTGATTCTCAATGTCATGTCGGAGAGGTACGATAAAATCACTCCAGCCAACATTCAGGCAGTCATGAGAGAACTTGAATCTTCTCAAGGAAGACGCACGGTATTTCCAGCGTACATCAAGCGACAACCTTCAGTGGTAGATTCAAATAATTGAAATATCAGGATTGAAAGGTAAGTTTGGTATTCTTAAGATTTGAGCAGACAGCGGGGACACCTGGCTTGCAATTCGTCTTGAACTGACAAATCAAACTAGGTATCAATGAAGTTCAGTTGAATGAACCAATCTGCAATACTCCTACATTGCGAATACCAAATCGAGATGCTTTTCCAGTCGTCAGACCCGTGTCCCAGATTGAGAATCCACGAGTATTGCGGAGGCGACTTCCTTCATTCAACAAGCTTACAACCTTCAAACATCCTCCTTCTTATCTTATAATGTTGACTCTAGGTCATTTTACTTTCTTTTCTTTTTTCTACTTCAATCAAAAACAATTGTTTTGTCTTTTTGGGCCTCAAAATTTTGACACACACATCCACATCAAATCAGATAGACATAAAATGAATCTGTCAACACTCAAGCTGTTGGCCATCTTTCTGGGCTCAACCTTGGCCATTGTTCCTACACCACCCATCGTCACATCACCACTCCCCCAATCCACAATTGAGCCAGCCTTTACTGCAATAATAGCGGCACAAGCAACTCAGCAACCGATTTCTCCTGTTTCTAACGTTGGTGGCGAGGTATTCAGCAGGTTTGTCCAAATATGGCTCGAGAATATGGTAAGATATCATTGTTATCAGAGATAATTGACAGATATATTCATTATATGCCATAGACTGACAGCCTCGGTATAGGATTTCAAAGAAGCTACCAATGACCCCAATTTTCAATGGCTTGCAGCACAAGGTATAACACTCACTAATTACTGGGGAGTAACACATCCTTCTCAACCAAACTATTGTGCAGTTGTCGGAGGTGATACATTCGGCATGGATGCAGACGAGTTCGTTCAAATTCCGGTCAATATATCTACTGTTGTAGATTTGCTCGACACTAAAGGCATTTCTTGGGGCGAATACCAAGAAGATATACCGTATGCTGGCTTTGAAGGATGGAATTTCTCGAAAACCGACCCATTCCAAGAAGATTATGTACGCAAACACAATCCACTAGTGATGTTCGATTCAGTCACCAGCAACGCTACTAGGCTTGCTTTGATCAAAAGTTTCGAGTCATTTGAATCAGATTTGGCAAATAAGACTCTACCACAGTGGTCTTTTATCACACCGAATATGACAAACAATGGACACGATACTAATGACACTGTAGCTGGAAATTGGTCTCGTATGTTCCTTGAACCTTTACTTACCAATGATTATTTTATGAACGATACCTTGGTTGTACTCACCTGGGATGAGAATGCCGAAAACGATGAGGAGAACAAGATGTTTGCTATCCTTCTTGGTGGTGCTATCCCTTCTTCCTTCAAAAATACTACCGATGATACATTCTACAACCACTATAGTATGCTTTCAACCATAGAACTTAACTGGGGACTCCCTTCTCTTGGCCGCTGGGACTGTGGTGCAAACGTTCTTGGTATTGTCGCTAGCAAAGCAGGATACGATAACTATGCCGTCAATACCACTAAGTTGCTTTTCAATTCATCATACCCAGGTCCTCTATCAGCAGATAGGTTTGATCCAGTCTGGCCTTTACCTGATACGAAAGCAAGTTGTGGCTCAGGTCAGGGAGTCTTGAAAAAAATCGTTGATGGATGGGGCAAATCCGATGGCACATACAACGTATGTAATTTGTTCATAACTTTACCCTGCCCGATGCTTATTTCTGTCTCCCACTACCTCTCCATCTCCTTGAACACCCAACTCGTTGTCAATGCAACATTTCATTTTAACCCAAAGCACTTCTTCAATAGACAATCACTAATGTCCTGATCTCTAATAGTATACCGACTCCTATCCATATGATGATGTCAGTGGTGATAACACAGGGGGTGAAGCGAGTCCAGTAACCACGACGTCTTTGCCATCAGCCACAGCTCCTGTACCTGCACCTCTTCCTTCAAAGAAATCAGAGGCCATGGATTTGAAATATGGTGGAGGTAGCTCCGTTGCCTTGATGATGGGATTTGTGTTTGTATTATTGATGGGTTGAATGTTGAAGGTATCATTGGAGAGGCATTGATTGTATCGATAGATGAAAATTTTGGAACTCTGTTGAGTCATAGTTTTCTTAAAACTACCTGCAACCCCCGTCATGCATTTCGGGCAGTTGGTATCTATTAGAAAGTACAATGCTTACCTAGCTCTCAAAATTACATTATCTGATCAAGCATGCCAGCTACTTTCCTTTCATTCATCTTGATATCGTGAGTCATTGACCAGCTGTACACCCAGGACAAGTGAACAAATGATACTAATCTTTGGGATTACCAAACTTGTGAGAATTGGGTCAGTAGACCTTTTTAGTTCTGGGGTCTCATTCTCATCCTCCACCCTGATCAACCGCTGTGCCACAGTACTCCTTCCATTCGCAACCTCTTCAGAATTCATTTTCCACCGTACATTGGACCACAGAGAAGAGGTTCCAGAGTTGCATGGTGGTTCAGCTGCACGAAATCACGAGGATCCGTCAAACTCGACCAAACAATAACCATTTCTTTTAACCATGAACACAATATATCGATGAACCACCAGGTAAACGTATTACTTGGTCATCCGCAGCGTGGGGGTTACTTTATACAATGCAGATTCTTAGAACCAGCAAACGGGATATATATATCTTGGCTACACGAGGATCTCCCGGATGTAACATGCAGAGTACCTAGTAGGTAAAAAATATTCAAACAATGGATGATGGGAGACGAGGGAGTGGAGTGTAGCAGCGTGGGATTTTGATAGGACGTGTTGACCAATCATAATGTCATGATTACATGCATGCTTCATTTCATCATTATAAGTGGATAAAACTTCCAAGTTGGGTAAGACACAGATACGGTAAAAATAGCAAATAGCAAGGCACATTTACATTTGGATTAACCATGCTTGTCATAATCATAGGTTTGGAATCCTCAATGCAACAAATCATGTTATACCATTTCATTTCACTTGGCATCAATTTGTTCAAAGCGCTCAGAGCGTGAACAAAACTTGACCACATCGAAAATACCATCATTGGTCTCCACTATATTGGGCACACACACTCAGGCTTTACCCTGACCGCAACATGTTACCAATTATATGAAATCACCTACAGTATCTTGATGTTGAAGGTCCAGAACATTCAAGATAGCTTCTCCGAAGGTGATCCTCAATCCCTCCTCTAAATCGAGAGTTGACCAGCTCCATCGACTTGATAACAATAAGATAACATCTTCGAAAAGACTGGACAGAGGAGGGAGTTCACAAATTGACAGGCGCCAACATTTACTACAGGATTACGAAGAATTCGAGCTCGCTGAATATCCTGGCGTACGAGACGATCCACCTCCGGAATCGCACACAAGTGAGAGAGACAGAAGAAGGGCAGAGAAGAGGAAAAGACTCGAGGAGGCAGACGAGATGAAGTTCTCACATAGTATACAATTCAATGCTGTTCCAGATTGGAGCAGTCATTACATCGCTTATAGCAATTTGAAGAAATTGTAAGTCTTGGCGCGAACTGATCTCTGAATGATGCTAATGATGTCTTTTCCGCAGGATCTACCAACTTGAGAAGAATGTACATCGACCCTCCACTGCCGTCGAAGACGCCGAAAATTCCCCTCTAATCAGACCGGCCGAAGATTCAGATGCTATCTTTCGCAGAGCACTAGATGCAGAATTGGAAAAGATATCCACCTTTTACGAATCGAAGGAGCTTGAAATTTTTGGCGAGGTTGCAGAGCTATTGAAGGAGGAAGAGGAATTCGAGGCTGAAGTTCTAGAAAGCAACCAGACAGATGGCAATGGCAATGGCAATGGCAGGCCAAGAGCATCGAGCAACGATCGACCACGACAAAACAGTATCTTCAAATCTTTTGTCCCTAAAGGGAGAAGGCGTTCAAGCACAATAAGTCGATCAATAGATGAGGGGGTCGAAGATAGTGATGATGATGACGACGATGAGAATACTGCGCTGCGCAAACCACCCATGCCAAAAAGAAGCAAGAGCTCTCCTCATGACGCGAATACGGGGGGTTTCGAGGACATGCGCTCTTCAACGGATTTAATGAAAACTGCTCGACGCAACAGTATGAACTACGAGGATATGGCAGAGCAGGCATTCAATGCCTTCTATTCATCTGGGATTACGTTGAAAAAGCGTGCAGTCAGTTTATATGTGTCACTATGTGAACTGAAATCTTTCGTTCAGCTTAACCAGACAGGTTTCAAGAAGGTTTGCAAGAAATATGACAAAATATTGGACAGAAATTTAAAGTCGAAGTACCTTCAGGATGTCGTAGCTCCAGCATATCCTTTCCGCCCCGAAACACTTAAGCATATCGAGGAGAACATATCACGAGTAGAGCGCATGTATTCCGATGTGGCAACTCAGGGAGACGTCGACATGGCAAAGAAGGAATTGCGATCACATCTACGAGAACATGTCGTTTGGGAGAGAAATACAGTTTGGAGGGAAATGATTGGCATTGAGAGGAAAGCTCAAGCTGCGAATATGGGTATTAGAAGGACTTTACTGGGCGTGGATAATGATCCATCTAAACTCCGATTGCAAGGTGATGATGCCGACATCGCTGAGATGAAGGAATTATCAACACCAGTTGGGAGAGTAAGATGTCCAAGATGGCTGTTTAGTTCAACGATGTTCACATTGGTTGGAATCATTACCATTTTCATTTTACTATTGCTTATCCCAATCATGAAGAAGCCAGAACAACAAAATTGTTTAGCAATGCTGGTATTTGTCAGTCTGTTATGGGCTACCGAGGTAAGAAACCCTTTGAAGACCCTAACTATAATCTCTTATTGACTGGTGTTTAGGTCATACCTCTCTTCGTTACATCTCTCATGATTCCATTCCTCTGCGTGATTCTAGGCGTGGTTCGCTCTGATGAAAAGCCTCACCATCGACTTGAAGCTCCAGCTGCGGCCAAATACATATTTTCCGCAATGTGGACTCCAGTCATCATGTTATTACTTGGTGGATTTACAGTAGCTGCAGCACTTTCCAAATATGATATTGCTAAGAGGATAGCGACTTTTGTCCTAAGCAAGGCTGGAACGAGGCCAAGAACAGTTCTTATCACCAACATGTTCGTAGCAGCTTTCGCAAGTATGTGGATTAGTAATGTTGCAGCACCTGTCTTGTGTTTCTCAATCATCCAGGTGAGCTTGAAACCCCTTTTTACCTCTCTTGAATCTTATTATTAACAGTCCTAGCCCATGCTTCGAAACCTTCCCTCTGAATCTCAAATGTCGAAAGCAGTTATTCTTGGCATTGCACTTTCATCCAATATTGGTGGAATGCTTTCACCAATCGCATCGCCACAGAATATTGTCGCTCTTCAAATCATGTCTCCACAACCAGACTGGGGGACTTGGTTCTTCATTGTCTTGCCAGTCGGTATAATTTCCATCGTCCTCATTTGGATCCTCTTACTTCTTACCTTCAAGCCTGGTCGTGGAACTACAATCGTTCCTATTCGCCCAGTTAAGGATGCATTCACTGGAGTTCAGTGGTTTATCACCCTTGTTACTCTTGGCACCATTGTTCTCTGGTGTGTGAGTCATCAGCTTGAAGCAATCTTTGGTGATATGGGAGTTGTCGCAATTATCCCAATAATACTATTCTTTGGTACCGGTATCTTGACAAAGGAGGATTTCAACAATTTCTTATGGACAATTATAATTCTTGCTGCTGGAGGACTTTCTTTAGGTAAAGCCGTCAACTCGTCAGGGTTGTTGCATACTATTGCTGGTGAAATCACTGCGAGCGTTGAGGGTTTGAGTCTCTATAGCGTACTTGTCGTATTCTCATGCCTCGTCTTGGTCGTTGCGACATTCATCAGTCACACTGTCGCAGCTCTCATTATTCTTCCATTGGTTCATAGTGTCGGAGCAAGTATGGATGAGCCACATCCCAACCTTTTGGTTATGGGTGCTACATTAATGTGTAGTGCTGCCATGGGATTGCCTACAAGTGGTTTCCCTAATATGAGTATGTATACCCCGTTTCCAATTCATAGATAAAAGATATGCTAATCATATATAGCTGCAATTATGATGGAGGATTCACAAACAGGACAAAGATATTTACAAGTGAAACATTTCATCACTCGTGGCGTACCAGCAAGTATCCTTACATGGCTAGTGGTCATCTCGGTTGGTTATGGATTGATGAGAGTGGTTGGGATGTAATATTTGATCTTTACTATCTTATAAATGGAACATTAGATTGTGATTGGGACTGGTAAGGAGAAAGGGGTCGAATTGGCGGGCATGCGGCATTGCAGAGATGGAGTTGGTTTTTTTGACACGTTTTCGAAATAGGATAGCAAATCACAATTTTGAATCGGCAAATTTCACATTCTTGGTCTACCTCGATCTACATTCTCATCGTTAGAATTCTCATTCCTCAGTTACACTATGATACCACATTTACTAACGAAAGTTCGCAAGGAATGCGAGAACCGGGGTTTTGTGTTTTGAGTGTGCATTTGTTTATAGGGGTAGTTATCCCCTTGAAGTCGCATCTCCTCTCCTCTCTTTTTCTTTCTGTTTACTCAAATCGCCGTGTCATTTACACTCGAAGATCACGCGCCAACCTCAGACACCCTTTCCACAAAACCACGCTCATTTACTCAAACCCTACCCTATCTCCCCAGCCAAAATGCATCTCCCAATCCTCTCTCTCACTCTCCTCCTCGGCCTCAGCGCCGCCATCGCCGTCCCAGCCCCCAATCCCGACTCGGCTCTCGAAGCCAAAGATTTCATCCCGAACAAGGTTTTGCGACAGGTGATTCCGCGACAGGGAATCCCGCTCCCGGAACCGGAGGTGGATATTGAACCCCCGCGAGATGATGGCCTGGTTCCTTTTGCGGGAGGGGGACCCGTGGTCGGGAAGTGGGTGAAGCCTACTTTTACGCCGGGCCCGGAGGATAATATCCCGCCGTTTAGTAATAGTGTGGTGAGTTGGGGTGGGGGTTTCTTTTTTTTTGTGTTTGTTGTTTGTTGTGTCTGTTTTTGTGGGAGGAGAGGAATGGAAAGGAATGGAAAGGGGATTGAAAGAGGGGATTTTTGGTGCCGTGTATTGATTTGATTTGATTTGATTTGATTCTCTATGACTGACGTATTTGCCTGTTTTAAGGACTTGAAGAAGCGCGATCTTGGACACACAAAATCAAATGTGTGTATCTCATTTCCCTCCTTTCTTGCGATTTTTCACTACTTCATTGCTTTTCTTTCCCAGATCATCATCATGTCCTGACCGCATGCTAATATTTCAATTCATCCAGGCATTCTGTCCTTACCCCGGTACAGCATACTGCTGTAACCCTAACCCGGGCACAGGAGGAACCCTCTGCAAATGGAATGGTGATGGACATTTGTCCGGCTGTGAGCTGATTACGGGTGGGGAGAGCGTTTGTTGTTCTACGCTTGGGTGTAAGGGGATGAGTGGGTTGAAGGAACCGATTACTACGGTTTAGGTTGGGGTGGGATGGAAGGAGGGGTGGAGGGGAAGAGAAGTGGCCGGAGCAGCGATGGCGGAAAGGGGTGAAGAGAAGGTTCATACTGTGGAGGTACAAGATGAGTGGTCACGGTATTGGATTGAGATCGCGGGGCACGATATATCTCAATGCGTTGTAACGATTGTTGTCTTTTTATCGCAGCGCCGATGGGGAACAAGGTTCTAAATTGAAAGTTCAAGTTATGTTACTGTTTTCTCTTTTTAAAAGGTCTTGTGGTTTGGAGATGAGGATTTCTGGTATGCACTTTGAAACAATTCGCAATATATTCATTCGTTTGATTTGAATGAACAATTTGACACCGAACTTTTCATGCTATTCTAGGTGGTGAGGTGGTGAGGTGATGATTGATCGGTCATGTGATCTCAGGTGTTGACCTTCAAAGCAAAGTTTGCAGCATGATATTATTGACCCGGGAAGTCTGGACAGATACATCTCTGTGGCTATTGCACTCGGCCAATAAACGTGTCTTCGAGATTACAATTGGCTCTGTCTATCTATTCATCAACGCTTCTCGATGGTACGATATTCTAATAACAATAAAAATATCGTTGCTAGAATCCATACCAAAACTGCAACAAGAACACCCCTCTCAAGCAGCACACAATACATACACACAGCACCCGTTGGGGTTTGATGACCGAAACTGTGAGCTTTCGAAAATGGGATTCACGTCAGAAGATGAATCATCTTCGAAGATGGCGGATCCTGTGATATTTCTCTAATCTTCAGACCCTAGGTTAATAAATTCGATATCGCTGTACCTGTGAATCTGGAAGATGGATTTTGACGAAGTGCTGCAGAGGGAATTTGATATCTCTGTGGCTTGAGGTTTTAATTTATACCTAGGTGGAGTCGGGTAGGTAGATTAAGTGATACTAGAGGAGAGTAGAGTATTTTATAGTCGGGGGTGCAGTCGAATAATATAGGGGCTTGGATGTTTAAAAGTAGTTGAGAAATTGGAGATGGTTTATTGTTCTAATCCGGTTCATTATATCAAGTGACTTGAATGTTGTGATTGGTTTGGGGGTTTGATTATTGAATACTATGACTAGAAGCTCCGCTAGTCCTACAGTCATTACATAGGTACTAGAATCTATCAGCCTGGGTATTAAAGCTATCAGTCACCACTCTCAATCTTTTTTTATGATTTCAGTCATAATTTAGAGTCACTACAATTTTTTGGACTGTATGACTCCAAGGGTTATGACGAATGATTAACACGCCCCAAATCTGAATATTTCAGTCATTTTGGTAATACAAACTCGAGTCAGAGAGATCCTCAATTTACAGAGTCTTGACTGTGCATTAATTCTGGCGATTCTTCCCTCTCCCACACCTCAAACTTCCTTGAAAACGTCTCAGAAAAAAAAATCCTCAATAAAGCAGACCGTTAGCATCGAAAATAACCCAACTGTAGCGCATCACGTTATCCCAGTTTAGCGAACAGCTTTGAGCATCCTTCCAATCTTCAGCACTACCTGAACATCGAATCCGTCCCTTCAACCAAATATTCCTCTACCAAAGCAATAACAGCACTACCTGAGTAACGAATCTGTTCCTTCAACCAAATATTCCTCTACCAAAGCAATAACAACCACAGCCATGGACGTTTCCAAAGTTACCAATTGCCAAACAAACGTTGGATCTCATGCCGAAGCGCCAGATGTCGCTTCCGAAATTCCTGATCCCAATACTCTTGTTCTTTACTTTACACTTACCTTCTACTGGAGATTTTGTCACAAAAATTGTCAAGAAGAAATCGATGAGTGGAGACGCAACATATTATGGCACGCTAGATCTATCAAGGGAACTATCCTCGAGCCACCTAGCTCACTTGACGCCAAGGAGGCTCTCAACTTCAATATCCTCGAGCGCTTTCAAATGTATTTCCTCCCTCAATACGAACACTTTACGCGAACTCCAGATCTTGGTAAGCAGGTAAAACCTCGATTCATATTTGACGTGGATCCTTGCTGTCTAGAGGGTCAACCTGAATTTATCATCGAGGTGGGATTCGAGAGGTGGCAACTGGACGACGATGGACAACCTGTGTGGAAACTCTGCAGAGATGCCTTCTTTATTCAAGATCCCCTCACAATCCCCCCTTCACAATTTATCATCGTGTTCAACGAAAGTGCCTTGGCCGAACAAATCATGCAACGACTTCGCTGCGATGGATCCGAAGATTTCTTTCCGAACGCCAATGGCCAATACATAAAGCAAAGCAGCAAGAGAACGATTATAGCAATAGCGACTTCCGCATCACCAACTTTTGAACCATTTGATCAAAGACCATCTGGACAGAAATTTGATCTTCATTATAGGGATTTATGCTGGGGCGAGTTTGGAAGTTGAAACGGGGTTCGCCGGATCGCTCGCTGATAAAACGACGACAAGAGGATGCGTGGCGCTTGGCTCCGATTATGGCGGAGAGGCGTGGGCTTGAGGTGCGGTTTGCGACCAATGATTGGTTCGAGTCGGATGTTTATGCGTAGTCTAAAAAATGATTGAATTAAGCATGGGTTTTCTCAATAAAGTTGATTTTGAGTCATCGTTTTTTGATCATGTCTTGCAGCAAAAGTGTGGTGTGTGTTAAGTGAATTGTGTGACTTTGAAGTGGCACGACTAGGCCACTCATATATATTTGTTCACGTGTATTTGTTGAATTTGGCCGTTAAATTCAATGGCATGAGTCTTCTCAGGAGTCATCAACTCTTCAAAATACTATATAAGTTGTCAAACCTCCCAGTTTCTGTATCCAGCTGCTATAAATATCAAAACACATACTTCCGACAGAACGAATCTCATAAAATAATACCATTACCTTCAAATAACGGAACTACGTAACATCATTTCACCACCTATTCCGGTACGATCTCCACTACTGTCAAGATACTATCTGCCTCATCAATCAGGAAATCTTCTCGCTATATCGACTTCGCTCTTAGTCACGGTATACACAGTCATCACTTGACAATTTACATTCAACACCACAACGACAAGCCCCAGTACCTTGGCAAAAATGTCAAAAAGATCTTCAAACAGGACCACAAAACCCGAGCGATCCGCCCTAGTAAAACTCCCCGCTTCAACTCCCAACCTCTCCCTGAGAGAACTTGGACTCTGGAAAGACTATTTCGTAGAAATTTCAGCCCCAAGAGTATGCACTCTTCCAATTTCGATCAAACAGAAAGACGAACGACCCTCAAAGCTTCTAGAAAACTTCAAGAATTACTATATAAGCAACCAAGTTCAGATTACCGAACACGATACTACAATCTATGTCCTCCGTACCTACTCCGGCATTTCAGTTAGATCCGAATACCGCATAGTCGATTGTTTTCGTCTGTCAGATACAAAAGATTCTGATTTTCCTAAGGCTATTATAGCACTACACTATGTCAAAACTCCAGAGAATGACGAGCCTTATCTCGACCGTACTCTGTTTGTCGAGGAGCCTCTCAAAGCAGACTCCAAAAGTTCTCCGGTAAGAGGACAGCAACTTGGAGAGCGCTTTCTATTAGTAGCAGAGGATCTCGAAAAAGAAATTTCGTACCGATTTTATGTGCCTGGTGGACAGAAAAGCGGACCTTTGTATGGACAGTATGTCCAAGATGATGGGTTGGGTAGTGTAGATATTGAGCAACTCGATCAAGGAAGGGGTCGGTATAAGTCTACTGCTGTGGTTTGGAGAAAGTGGGAACCTCTAGAGGATCCGGGAACGGAAGAATGGAAGGGTAATAATGTCGCTTTAAGTCGTATTGTGGAGGAGAGACAGCTTTATGTAAAACCCCTTTTAGAGTCTCACGAAAGTTCTGCGGGTATGAGAAACTCGGGACGAGAATGAGATTGCGAAGGATCATCTGTCAGCCTGGACTTCCAGGTTATTGTATATTAGATCGCAAGCATGGGTTCAACAACATAAATCGTTCAAAGAAATATACACAAAGTTCAATGTCTGGAAAGTACCAATTTATCTTGCACAATCGATATCCAGTACTCTGAACTATATTGTGAAGGAATCATAACTATTAATCAGTTTGAGTGATTAGTAATTGATATCATAATCAACTTGGGCGAGGCCTCAAAGTATTCACAAGGTTATTTTCATTCCCTTCGTGCTTGAATAGCTGGTGAAATTGTACAAACATACGCGGTAGGTTCATTCGGGTTCTTCTTCTGCATGAATACTACTTAGGATTCATCATCATCTCTCCATTCAGCTCCTTGAATTCTTGAATTTCCACAAACAGTGAGACTCATGCATAGCTGTTTTTTCTCAAAAACACGCTGGTGTGGACGACGAAGAGCAACGGAAATACTTTCTTCATTGACTTCAAGAGAAAGAGAAGCTCAATCGCATTACCACTTGAGCTGTAGACCGAATTAATTATAGCTTTGGGGTCTGCCTGTGAGGCATAACAGTGGCTGATGAATCACTTTGTAGCCATGAACTGCGGTTGATTGAACAATACTAATCATGCCCAAAAAGGCTTGCCCTAAATCTCCCTCGGTCACGGGAAAGATACCCTGAATTGATAGGAATGAAGTGCGTCACTCGAATGGTGCTTGCGATTAGACATTGTAACTTCCAAGATGGAAGAAAGCACTAGATCGTAGTTATAAACTAGCGGGGGTCCACCAGTGGTCCGGGGCCCCAGAGTATCCAGAGCTCCGGACTGCGTTGCAATCGTATACCAGAGCATATCGATAGAGGTCAAATAAAATAGAATAAGAAAGCTAAAGAGGAAAGAGAACCTTAGGGGATATCTTTGTCTCTTAGTTCGAGGCTAGCTTGAACTAAGGTTCGTATGATGAGTAATCAGACTGTCATGTGATATTCGTCACAGACAGTACAGTACAGTCCAACAATGAAGACTTATTACCAAATCTTCAAACGAATTAGAACATTCAAAATATGTGAGATATTGAATTTGATTGGAAAATTGCCTAGCCCTTATTTTCTCATACAAAAGGAGTGGGCTGCCGCTTTAATATAACTACATGCGCAAACCCTTGCTGCTCGTAATTCATCATCCTAGGAGCTAGCTCGGTCAATGAAAATTAAAGCAGCTTTACATTGACTAAAGCGACCTCACCCTCATTAGAATCGTCTACAACAGCAAATTCATAAGCCGCTTTATGATTTGAACATCTCATTAATTGTGATCTCTCTCCTCCCTTTTATCGCGGTTCCGTTCATCTTGTATGCTTTGTAATCAGGTACCAGTTCATTTGGACCATGATACGGAGTGTGATGGTATGGCAACACAGGCTGGCGATTACCATTACGGTGGAAAAAGTAATTGGAAAGTTCGGGACCGAGAGCTCTCCTTTTTCACGACGGAAGTTTGGTAAAACTTGTTGATTGCCCTTCCATTATGTCTGATTTCAAAGCTAGACCCCACTTCATACCAATGCTACCGGCATACCGGCTCGTTCAGCCATCTTGATATGGGAGCTAATTCAACATCGTGAGAGTAAGTAGCGTGAGCCATCTCTGGAGATTCTCGACATTCCGATCTAATTCAATCATCCGGTACGAACTAGCACCAGTTCTTCAGATGACATAATACATCTCACTCATGCATACGTCAACTCTCCTTTGGAAGAGGTAATTTCGACAAGGGTGACACGTTTCATAAATTTTCCATCAGTGATTTCTCCCGGTTACCCCACTCAACGAAGCACATCAGCCACTTCGACTCTCCAGGGCTTCCTCTAGGCACTCCATAATAAGTTTAGCCGCCTGTAATTTCCATCAAACATTCACTAAATATCCCCGTTCTTCCCCCAACAGCCGAGCTCCCGTCTGAAATATATTGAAAATAAAGTGTAAATGCGCGTTTCGGGATATTACATCGATCCTTAATGAGATGAACATTAATGGATTGGAGGGATTGGAATTTTTCCATATCCTATATATGATGAAATGACGATCCAGAATTGACGAAGCTTTTGAAAAGTTTGGACTGCCTTTGCTTTATATTTCATTCATACTCCAATTTTCGTGCTGTCCGCGAAAAATCACATTCTTTTTTTCGATACGCTGTAAATTTTCATAAAGATGGTTGTCATCAATTCTAAATCTTTGCCGCTGGCGGCTGGTCTTTTTATCTCAGCTACTTCGGCTGCAGATGTTGCGTTATATGGTCAATGTGGAGGGTCGGGATTTACAGGATCGTCATCTTGTGTTTCGGGGGCAGTTTGTCAATCCCAAAATGCATTTTATTATCAATGTGTAGCAGGAGCTGCAACGGCAACGAGCGCAGCTGAGGTGGTCTCGAGTACTGCAGTCGCTCCTGTGACGACGGCTTTGGCTATCTCGAGCTTAGCTCCAGCAGTTTCAAGCTCCGTTTTACAAATATCCTCAGCCACTACGAAGAAAAAGTGCTCCTCGACTACTTTCGCTACTTCGGTTGCTAAACAATCTACTTCAGTAGCCAGCTCTTCGGTTATTGTTCAAGAAAGTTCTGCTGCTCAAGCGATTTCTTCCCAGAGAAGCTCTGTCCAGTCATCAGCAGTAGTCGCAAGTTCCTCTTCTACTTCCAGCGTACCCCTCATTACTACAACATTTGCAGCTCTCCCAACTGCCATTGTTTCTACATCCGCCGCCCTAGTTACCTCAACTCAAGCTGCTATTGTAGCAACGAGTTCTTCCAGCGCTGCAGTTGCATCGACTGCAAGCTCATCCGCATCTTCCGGAACCAAATATCTTATGGTTTTGTAAGTTTCCAAGAACCAATTCCGAAAAATATGTAACTAACAAATTCCCAGCGGTGATTCCTACACATCCGACGGATTCTACGGCGGAGCCACTCTTCCCTCCGCCGAAAACCCACTCGGAGTCGCCCTCCCCGGATCCACCACCGACGGCGGTCTCGGCTGGCTCGGCGTCGTCGCCACCGAACTAAACAGTTCCCTCGTTCTCGGTTACGATTACGCCGAATATGGCGCTACCACTGACAACACCCTCGTCAACGGTGCCACCCACGATCTCATTGCCCAAGTCACCGAATTCTCAACCTACGCTGCACACAATGTGTCCAGCGCGCCTTGGACCGAAGACAACACCATGGCGATCGTCTGGATGGGCATCAACGATGTCGGAAACTCATACTGGGATGGATTTGTCACTCCATTCGACAACATCCTCGACGTGTATTTCGCACAGCTTCAAATCCTATACGATGCGGGTATCAGATACTTTACACTATTCACCATTCCCCCCTTCGACCAAGCCCCCGTTTTCGCCGAGCAAACCGCTCAAAATATGGATTACGTACGCGGCAACATAAGCACCTACAACGCCGATCTCGTAACTCGTTTGGCGACCTTCGAGGCTGCGAATAGTGGCGTCACCGGCACGATTTTCAACACGACCGAATCTTTCTATACCGTGTTGGATGATCCAGCGACCTACGGCTTGCCAGATGCGACATGTATGAATGCGGATGGGACTTCGTGCTTGTGGTATGATAGTTATCATCCGGGTCAAGCTATTCAGAAGTTGGTGGCGGAGAACTTTGTTAAGGCGATGAGTGGAATTTTCTCGCTCTAATGGGTGTGCGAGATGAGAGAAGATGAGACGTGTATATATTATTCTGTTGTTCAAAATTAGGGCGAGGTGGAAGATGTACATATTATAGGATATTGTGAGGCGTGAGGGAGTCGGCTTTCTATCGGATTGGGGAGAACTTTCTCCCGTTCATCTGTATATGCCTGGCTTTCAGTACCCAGCTTCTAGCATGTACATACCCTTTTTTTTAAATTGTGAATATCAGACTCATTAATTTTACACTTATCAAGGTGCCAGACTAGTCACACTTGTTCGAAAACTCCCCATCAACAATACCCAATTCAAACACATATCTAACTCATTAGTTCCGCTAAACAACGACCAAGCACTGATCTAAAATCATCCCCTTTTCACCCCATCTACCCATCAAAAAAGAACCCTATGAACAGCCCTACCAACCTTCAAAGCTCGTCCCCGAGCATTCAACTCCTTCCAAGTCTTTACATCTGTTCTCTCCAACTCATTAAGAGCTGCAATCTCCTCATCAGTCGGGGGCTGAGATCTTCCCGTCTCAAAATACATGTCTGAGTATGGGACTAATTTGGTCTAGAAACGTGATTAGTCATTATGGAGATCAAACCTACGAGAGATTTCAAGCAAGACACCCCGGACCCCCCAAAAAATAAGGAAAGTAGGGGGGAAAACCTACCTTCTTGACCACTTTCCAAATTCCATACAAAATGAAAAATACAGGAATCCCGATATAAGTAGCGACAATATTAGCCCAAGCAAATGGTCTCGTAGTTGCAGCTACATAGCCTTCTCCGGCGACAATCAGGCAACCCATGAGAAAAGCAAATATCGATGTATATGGAAAGATTCCCGCTTTGAACGGAAGATCAGACAAGCTATTTCCTTGACGGACCCAGCCGAGACGAAAGCGAATGTGCACGAGACATTGTGACATGTAGATGAGTAGATTACAAATTGCGATCCTAGAATATTCTCAGCAAATATTTTGGGCAGAAAAGAATCGCCTTCAGAGTAAGAGTAGCGAGAACTTGGGTAATAAAGACGAAAATGCCAAAGAGGAGATATGTACAAATTGTAAAGCCAGGTGAATACAACTCCCTGTCCAAAGATTGCACCAAAGAATGCGACGAAGCCTATCAATACGCTGACGCACATAGCTGGTAACGGGACTCCATTACCTTTCCATGTGGTAGCGAAAATTTTCGGGGCTTGTCCATTCTTTGCGAGTGCAAAAAGTATACGAGAGCTAGCATAGACGCTGGTGTTACCGGCACTGACCACAGCGATAAGAATAGCAGCATTCATGATACTAGCAGCGGCAGCAATACCTGCATCTTTGAAAACAAGTGTAAAAGGAGAAGCTGCGATTTCTGTAGCGGATGTAGTCAGGAGTGAGGGGTCAGTAGACTTGATGTTGATACTCTATTATCCTTAGCAAATGTACGAATGCGATTGGGAATTTTGAGATGATTGAAACCCACAATGACAAAGATAGATCCAACATAGCAGAGCAAAATCCGCCCAATCGTTCCCTTGATAGCTCTTGGGACATCTCTACGTGGGTTTTTGGCTTCACCAGCAGTCAAACCAACTAGCTCTGTACCTCCATAACTCAAGAAAGCCGTACACAAAGCAGACAAAACACCGGGCCATCCTGCAGCAAAAGGTGCTCCTTCTGTCGAGGATTTCCAGTAATCGAAACCTTTAGCTTTGTGGCCTGGTATTCCACCGCCGTTGAGGACCAAGCCGACAATGATAAAGATGATTACAACGAGAACTTTCAAGAAACTGAAGAAGAACTCTGCTTCTCCAAACCATCGAACTCCAAAGAGATTGATAACTGAAAGGTTAGACACGTGAATAAGACACCATTTTTCAAAAAGATAACCTACCAACGATCACAATAAGAAATACCAAAGCCCATACCCAAGTCCCAATATCTGGTAGCCAATAGCTTATGATAATGCCTGCTGAAGATAGTTCTGCCGGTAAAGTAAGAACCCAAAGAAACCAATAAGACCATCCTTGAGCAAAGCCAAGAGCCGGGTCAAAGAATCTGTCGCCGAACGCTGCGAATGATCCAGAAACTGGAAATATGGTCGCGATTTCACCAATCTATTTCGTGATTGATCATTGGATTCTATGGCTTTAACTCGAGCTTCGCCGGAAAAAGGATGACTAATGTCGAAACTTACAGTAGCCACAACCAAATACACAAATATACCAGATATAATAAACGAAATCACAGCTCCAACAGGTCCAGCCGTTGATATGGTAGCTCCAGAGATGAGAAAAAGTCCAGTACTTGAGACAGTTTATTAGCTAGGTATACATAAAGATACGTGATGAATCTGGTGAATCTAATGTCATGAAATTAAAATAAACGTGTAACCACGCGTCAGAAATCCAATGGAATTTAAATGGGCAATTGCAATTGTAAGTCCAATGCCTATTAGGGACTCAAAATTTGCGTCTAAATCGGTGGTGATATCAACCAAAAACAAGAGAAGATGACCATGATGAGACGAAGTTTTCAATGCAGATTATGGCAACATTCAGACGTCATCTAGTATCCAAATACCAGGAAAGAATCGAAAGAATTGAGAGACATACCCTATAGTTCCTCCCACAGCAAGCATACTAAGATGTCTTGATTTGAATTCTCTTTTCGTCTCGGACCCCCAATTACCCACGGCGACTTCACCATGTTTCAACGAATCGACATCTCCCGCAGTTTGGATATCTAAATTGGTGATTTCATCCTTACCGGTGAGTTTTCCGGTGCTGGTAACCATATTTTATCAAGAAATCAAAAACAAATAAGAATGTCACTCAACAACAAATGTAATACCTTTTACCTCTATTACCCCTCATTATATACGTATCAAATGGAAATATCGTATTGGCGGTATCGCAAACAATCAAGGGTGGAGTTCACCCGCAGACCCCATTTTTGCAGGGACTCCACGAACTTTAGCGCCACTTCTTATCATGAACTTTGCATAGATAACTATCAATTGGTTCCTCACAGCTACACCCATTCAATTCGATTGAATAGTTCTCAATTGGGGAAGACAATAAGATAAAATCTTATCTCGGCGTTCTAAGGAGACGGATACGGAAACGGATGCGGAGATATAATAGTCGCGGTTAGACTTCTTAGATCTGCGGGATATCCGATAGGGCGTAAGGGGATCTTTTGATCTGAATTGCATTGCATATTTGATGGTAATCGTATGGTTACCGAGGAAACAGGTATGTCTCCGCAAAGGCGTACTGGACATACATTCATATATATCAATCTAATCCCCAAATTCCAGTAGAAATTTTCAATTACCACATTCATACTCTGCAGAGATATTTCAAGATCATGGCGAATAACAAATCATTTGAACCTGAGCGGGCCCTGATTGGTGGTTCTCTTGATATACCCCGTATGGTATCGGGATTATGGCAGCTAGCTGGAGGACATGATCAAAATGTAGATGTGGAAGCAGCGGCCAAAGCGATGGAACCATTGTGAGAATCGCAAAGTCATAACTAATTTTTACTTAATCACTAATTGCTAAATAAGAATTGAAGCAGGATTGGACTGTTTTGACATGGCTGATCATTATGGCGACGCAGGTGAGTTGTCCTTGTCTCCAAGAGTCTTGGGTTACTGACCCAGATAGAACTGGTTATGGGTCAGCACAATTTGACATCGACGAAGAAAATGATAGCTTTCACAAAATGGTGCCCACCAGAAAACGGAGTTACCAGCTTCGAAAATGCGGAAAAGGCTGTGGATCTTGCATTGGAGAGGATGAAGCAAGAAAAAATTGAATTGATGCAATGTAAGAAAGTCAAAGAATTTCCTTGAAGAAAACTAATTCAGATTAGATCATGCGTGGGACTATACGGATGATGGTTACATTCGAAATCTTGAGCACTTGCGAACTTTACAAAAACAGGGAAAAATTGGAATGATTGGAATGACAAACACAGATGCGGCACATCTCGAACTTTTGATCAATACGGGATTCAAAATTGCAACCAATCAGGTATCGTGCTCCGTTATTGATCGACGTCATGTTCGCGGTCGACTTGCATCAGTATGTACTGAATATGATGTTGGTATCTTGGCATATGGAACACTTCTCGGGGGGTATCTTAGTGAAAAGTGGCTTGGGGTTGAAGAACCAAAGGATGAAACAGAATTGAACTGGAGTCTGAGAAAATATCTGCGATTTATTAATGCGGCTGGAGGATGGTCATCATATCAAGTTGTGCTTCAAGCACTTTCCACGGTTGCCAAAAAACACGGAGTTGGTATTTCTGCCGTTGCAACACGACACGTTCTGGACCTACCTGCTGTAAGTGCTGTGATTGTCGGATCTAGGCTATCAAGTACTTCAGACAAGTATACAGTGAGCAATCTTGAGGCTTTTAGTTTTGCATTAGATGCAGAAGACAGGGCTTTGATAGCAAAAGCACAGGAGGGCCTTTCGGATATACCAGGAGACTGCGGTGATGAATATCGACGACCACCATTTCTCACAGCCAAAGGTGATCTTAGCGATCACCTTGAAGAGACAGATCATGATTTGAAGATCGCCAAAGCTATCGCTGGTGGAGCTCGCGTCGAATATTCTTCAGGCAGCCACTGGGAGCCCATTGCAGTATGTTCTTACCCCGGATGTATTAGAAAGGTCACTAATATCCTTTTCACAGAGTTATTGTCGAGCGGTCAGAACAGGCAACACCATTCGCGTATCAGGGACCACAGCAAATTCTCCAGTCTCAAGCATTCCAGCGCTAGGTGGAAAAAGCGCGCGTAGCCAGACCGTGGCAATCCTAGATATCGTTGCGCGTGCCATAAAAGCTCTGGGGGGAGACTTGTCCGATGTTGTGCGAACCAGCATATTCTTACAAAAGGAGGAGGACGTCGAAGCGGTCAGTCTTGCACATGGCTGGGCTTTTAAGTGCGTGGGAATCAGACCGTCAAATACATTGGTGGTATCAGGGGT